AGGCGATCCCCATGAAGGAGCCCGGAGGGGAGGGCGAGGGAGCCCCCGCCGAGGACCCACCAGCCCCGGCGCAGGTAAGCTGGCGGGGGCGCATCGCGCGTAATGGAACCCCGTCCTGCGTTTTGGGGATGCGTAAAAGGGACCCCTGCTCTCCAAGGCGGCCCCGATCTCCCCCCCTTTCCTCTGTCCTTCCCGGGCTTGGGGATGCGTAAAAGGGACCCCTGCTCTCCAGAGCGGCCCTGATCCCCCCCTTCCTCTGCCTTTCCCGGGGGGGGTCGGGCGGCACAAAAGAGGTCCCCCATGTTGGCCGAGGCGCTCGTCCCTGCCTCCCCAAAACCGAGCGCTCGGCCCCGGGGCCAGGATCCTGACCCCCCTCGGCCGCCTCCAGACCCTTCTTTCCGGGCATCGGTGCCTTCCTTTCCCCGCAGGGTCTGTCCGATCCTAAATCCACCGGGGCAAAAAGTGTATCACATGGATCTTAGTAACTGCCTTCTAACAGAAAACTAAATGGTAGTTTTTTTTCCCCCCTTCTCCCCCCCTCTATGAAAAGAACGCCACCTAGAGGAGACTATTTCTGAAATAGGGGAAAAAATAAATTAAAATTGAAGGTGGAAAAAAAAAGAAAATCTTTTTTTCTCTCCCCTCCTATTTCTTATTTTCGAAGTTTCCTATCTTGGGGAGATTTGCAGGAGTTCAAAAAAAAAATTTTAAAAAAATCTCCCCGTGGAATTTGATTTAAACCAATTAAGCCCGACGGAGCGCCTTTTATTTACTGGCAGCGAAATTGCTTTTTTCCAGCGAGAAGGCTTTTTTAATATGCAAATGAAATCAAACTTGAATTTGAATGAAATCGAGGCGTTTTCCCCTGTGGGGGCGGCCAAAAAAACACACACCAAAACACTGTTCCGTGTGGGCGCCGAAATGTTTGCAGAAATGAGAGGAAAAGGCTGACAAATTTCCAAGAAATCACCAGTTTGGAAGGTGGAAGAATTGTTGCAAAGCAATTAGCAATTGTACTTATGGCGAATTTGAAGCAATTTTCAAAGTTAGGCAGCTCTTGACTATTTTTTTTGGGAAATAGCAATTAAAAGTTTTATGTAAAGGGTTTTTTTTGTGTTTTTTTATAAAAACCATGTGTTATAGGAAATTGCTTCTGGACACACCCCAGTTTTCTGTTGGGGGGGCCGGGTGACGCAGGGTTTTGTACAAATCTGATTTGAAACAACCCTGTTTTTAATCCTGAGCCAATCCTGAAATGTCAGTGAGGGTTAAGTTAAGAGTACAGGGAAGGCTTTTGTTTCTGAAATGCTATATAATTTTTGAAGCTTTTTGCCCTTGGCACAATTAATTCTAACATTTAATCTTTAGCCCTTCAGCCACTGTGGCTCAGAAGGCGAACATTTTGTGATTGTTTTGCTTGAAACAACTATAGATATTATCTCTTACAAGTTATGTGTAGCAGTATCTGTATAATACAAATATACATTGTTGCCTTAATTATGTATGCAAACTGCTGCTAGTTGGAAAAATTGCAAATGTGAAGTTGGAGTTTTTTTTTAAAAAAATTGCAAAATTAAACTATGGTTTCCTAGGATTTTTTTAAAAAACCTCTTGTCCCCATTAAATGCTGAATATCTTGGAAACAGTGTATTACTTATTTGCTTTTGGGGGAAAATCTGGTTTATTTGAGTTATTTACATTTGTTTGTAACAAAATTGCCTTTTGAGTTTTTGGTCCTTGCTGGTACAGTATGTGTGGTTTTTTTTTCTGTTTTGCATTTTTTTTAAAAAAGGTGTTGGTTGTGTCTTAATTTGGAAGTTTTTAACTTAAAAAAATCTGGGAAAAGAGGCATGCAGCTTTTCTGTCTGAGACAGACGGGGAGAGAAAAGGATCTGGTCAATCCCGAATTTGAAAGGAAAAAACAGAAAGAGCAAATCTTGCAGTCTCCACTTTAAAATGGGAACAAAATATCAAGATGGCCGACTTCACAGCTACAGCAGGGAATTTGAAAAGGGCATTTCTGTGTTAGAACAGAACAGTTTTCTGTAGCTTTCCCTTATCCAAGAACCTCAATTCAAGCCAGTATTCTTTTTTTAAAAAATTTTTTAGAAGTTCATCTGCACAATTTTTTAAGAAAAAAAATTAAAGAAAAAAAATCAGAATTTTGGAAGGAAAAATTCCTGGAAAAGTTGATGGTTTGTTAATTTTGCTTAATTGTCCTCTGATTTGGAATTGAATATTTAATTGAAAATTCTTGATTTCAGTGGGAAGTGTGGGGGGGTGCAATTAAAGATTTCATCTCCAACCAATCCAATGTTCCCTTTTCTCCTCCCCCCTCCTCCTCCTCCTCCCCCCCCCAGCATGGGAGGGGGAAACGTATGGAAGGTTCTGGAACAACAAGCAAACAAGCAATTTTCAGAAACACTCTGACGGATTTAAATTTTTGCAGTAGTTAGGGAAAAAAATCCATCTGGCTGACTTTCTGGAGGGGAAGAAAAGGACGGAGCTTTTTTGAGAATATATATATATATTTCAGGGGTGGGAGTCCAATGTGTGAAACGGAGATAAACAAGGTTGGAATTCTGATCCGTGTCCCCCCCCCCTTTCTTTCTTTTTTTTTGCAACAGGTTTTTGACATGAGCCAGGCCCTAGTGCTGAGTTAATTTTGAAACTATATGGAAAGCAGCTTTCAGATTTCCAATTAAAAATAAATATAGTCATGTGATCACCTCGCTTGCCTGCCTCTCCCTCTCTTCCCCCTCCCCTTCTTGTCTTTTAAGAGAAGATCTGCTGGAAAAACAGGATGGGAGGGGAGAATGGATCAGCCCCGGGGGGTGGTGGTGGTAATAAACCAGGAACAATTCCATTTTTGATCCAGAACAGGAGATCCCTTTTACGCTGGCAGTGAGGAGGCGCTGCCATGATGGATTGAACAGGAAATCTTGGATATTTTACACTTTGATTGTGCCGGGGGGGGGAATCCGAAGATGGGGGGATGATGGTGTTCCAGCCCCTGTTAGTCCTCCTATCCAAGAGCACTCCTCGAAGGGGTAGGGTTTTGTGTGTGTGTGTTGTTGTTGTTGTTTTGTAATTATAAGGAAATAGTTACTGAGGCACTGCAGTGCCTTTTCCTTCTCATGCCTAGTTTCCAGTGCAGAGAGAAGCAGGAAATACATAAGGACTAGAGCCTTGGCTACAGGGGTTATTTACACTCCATTTTAGCAGCAGCAAGACCTTGGACCATACTCTTCCCCCCCCCCTTATGACAAAAGGGGGTAACGGCAGGATGTAAATCAATTATAGATAAATGTTGCTTTCTTCTCCTCGATTGTGGCCCTCAATGTTTTAAGGGCAGGATTTGTGCATGTTTTCACCTCCGAGGTCAGATTTATTTTGGCCTTTTCCTTTCCAAGGCTTAGGTGGTCAGTTGGAACAGCTTCGCATCCAACGTGGCGTCTGCCGCTCACCCAGTGGCTTTAGGGAAGCCGTGCGTCCGTGAGGTTGCTGACGCCCGATTCGCATGTGTACAGAGTTCTGACGGGTGCAGAAATAGCAACAGCGGCCTACCTTCAGGGGTGTCGGAGCAGCAAGAGATGTCAGAGGCTTTGAGCGTCCTTAAGGGCCAATTTTATAGCAGTTCCCTTACCAGTTCTGTCCTCGGCGTTATAAATAATGCTACCGTCTCACGTAATATTTGTAAGGACAATTATTAAATGCAAAAGGGCCACACGGCCCTTACTAGTAATCACGCTGTTCGTATTGTTTGAGGCAGCTCCTGTTGTAAGTTGGCCGTCACGATCAGTGTCGTTTTTCTGAAACGGTTCCAGTCAATGGGGCTTCCATTTTCTTGCTTCCATTTTCTTCGACTTTACCCGGGCTGCCCGTTTTGTCTTCACAGCGGCCCTTTGAGGGTGACCAGAGAGGGGGGAAGGAGAGCGCCCGGAGGTCCCGATGCCCACATAAGCTGGGCAAGGGAACCCACCTTTCGCGTGGCCATCCTGCGCCCCTCTCTCCTGGCACTCTCTCACAGGGAGCCCAAGGACCTCTTCGGACAGCGGGCAGCCACCCTCGGCCGATGGCTTGGCGGGCCACGTTTCTGGGTCTTCCTCTTCCTCGCGCTGTGCCCTGGACTCTTGATTGGCATGGTGGCCTTCCTGTTCTGGCTGTTGTTCTGCAGGAATCGAGGCCACCAACTGCCCCCTCCTTTGGGCCGTTTGGCCCCTGGTTCGAGGAAACGAACCCCTTGGCGCGCCACAGGAAGTCCTCCTCCGTGTGCACTTTGCTGGACGACATTGTGTGGTTGTGATCCTCGTGTGCATCCACCTCCTCTCACCAACGTGTGGGGTTGACTTTAGAGGAAATGGCCTTGTAGTCTAACCCTAACGTCTATACATCACGCTGCACCACACTGCTACCCCGTAAAGGTTCGAACGCTGTCGGATTTGAATCATGCAAATGGATCCTTTCATAGTGAAATAGTGGAGACTCTTTTCTTCCTCCCAGGTGGACAGAAATTATTTTAAAACTGAGGAGTAGAATTTTTTTTGATTTACCCGTTTATGGGACTCTACCCATAAGCAAATTCAGTCCGCGGGACTTATTCCCTGACAAGGGGATATTAAAATTACAACCGAGGGGGGCTATTGCTTGTTGGTGACTTAAGATCCACATGCGTATTATATTTGATTTTTACTGCTTCTGGTTTTTAACTGTGGTGGGTACATATTTCTTTTACCTGGAGAAACTAGGAAGCTTGAAGTTCCTTTGTACACAACGGGAGAGAGATGATTCCAGCCTAAAGTCTGTCCGCCTCTGTCTTTTTTTCAAAGAAGCCGCCACCATAAACCCTCACCTTTCCAGGTATAGGGATGAGTTTGTGAGCAAATGGTCTCTCTCGGTGTTGACAGGCGATCACCTGGAGTGGAATAGTTTTTTTTAAAAAAACTTGCTTGGGACCCTAGTTCTTGAATAGTTCACAGGTACAGAACGAATCGCACGCCTACCTACGCAGCCCTCGAAAATCGGTTCGAAGGGCGTCGTAGTCCACGAAAAGTCTGCACCTCCGCGCCCCCCA